CCGGAAGATGTGAAGCAGCAATTAGATTTTACAAATGAGGAATGGTGGGGAGGGAAGAGCTGGACAGGGGACCAACTTCCATAGGTCACATAGCTGTGCTTCCAGACGCTAATGGACCTTGGAGGGCGGAGTAAAATAGTCACACTCCCACGTATGTTTATTTTTATCTCTTGTCTTAACCTTCAAGGACGCCTGTGCTCTAAGCATTGGGCCTTGTGTCACCTGGGCTGGCTATAAACCCACGAAGCTCCCCTGGTAATAAGAATCAGACAACTGGAAAGCCGTTTGGAAAGAAAAGTAGAGCTGGATCATGATACCAAAATAACTTCCAGATAAATCAAAGTTTTAGGCATCGGAAAGGAAACTGCAAAACAAAAATCTGCAGGAATATATGGACGTGGAATATAAACAGACATACACAAGGTTTTAAAACCTTGTAGAAGGAATTAAGCAGCAGCAAAACCCAGGAACCCTAAAGGAATAGATAACTATACTTGGATACATAAAAATGTAAGAATTCTGTGTAGCAAAAAAATGCCAAAAACTTAATTTTACCCTTGAACTGGGAGAAAAGTTTGCAACTTTATTTTGTTTGTTTATAGTAAAGTGCTGATATGTTCATTATCAAGAACACTTAGCAATACGAAGAAAATCTAACAGCAAAGAATATGAGAAGACTGTTTCAGAATCAAGAAACCCAAACGACTTAAAAAAACTCTGTTTTCTGCTTTATAATGTAATATGTTCAGCAGCTCCATTATAATTTATCAATAAATGTACACATATGAGACGTACATGTTGAAAGTGTTCTTCTAGCAGGAGAGTTACACCGAAAAGTGGGGAGACCCTTGGTCTAGATACCACCCCAGGCTCCTTCTGCCGAAATCCTGCTGCTTCCTGGAAAGGGGGCGGGGCAGCCGCTTACCTCGATTTTGCCCTCCTTGGCGGCCAGCTTCAGGGGCGTGAGGCCCTGCAGGTTGGGGATGTCCTCCAGCCGCACCGTCGGGCAGAGGCGGGCCCCAGCCTGGAGGAGCTGGTCGTACATGCGCGTCACCAGTGCGCTGTTCTCGGCCGAGTTGTCCGCGATCATCACCAAGGCGTGCAGGACCGTGTTGCCCAGCGAGTCGGCGGCCTGCAGGCTGGCGGGCTGGTGCGGGTTCTCCAGGAGGTAGGTCACCACGTCCCATTGCTTGGTGCACGCGGCCAGAGAGAGGGGCAGCTCGCCTGGGGGCCGAGGGGGCATCTTGGGACTCGGGCCTCCCAGCTTACACCTGCCTACTTCTCGAGCTCCCTGGACCCAAGGCTGGCCTCCTCGAGGGGGGTGGGGTCCCCAAGGAGAGGGTGCTGCACTGCCTGGGGGCCTGGCCGCATCCGGGCCTGCGCCTGCGCAGTGAGCGGAGAGGCGCGCGGGCC